CACGTCCGTTTATACCTCCGCCATTTTTCCACCCTCGTGTAATTTGATTTTTTAAAAAAGAAAATTACTTGGATTAAACGGGACAAAGAAAAGGGGAATTAATATTATTACCAGTTTTATTCACTTGTTTTTTAATAACTTTTTAAGCTTATTTTTATTTTTTATCTCTGACTTAAGATCCTTTTTCACCTAATCAACATGGGCAGATCTTGTCTTCCAAATTAAGTGTGCTGGCTGCCCACATTTGGGCAGGTACTTAAAATGAGATCCCAATGGGCTTCTGGCATGTGTTGAATAAATTCTTAAAATTACCATGACACTTTATGTCAACTGATTTAGGTAGAATTTAATATGAGATTTAAATTTAGGATTTATTTATATCATTAGAGAAGTATCCATATAGCTTCTATATAAGGGTAATATGCAAATTGACTGAACAGCAGAATGACTGGTTGCTATCACACACACTGACCACCAGGGGGCAGACACTCAACGCAAGAGCTGCCCCCTGGTGGTCTGTGCACTCCCAGAGGGGAAGCACAGCTCAGCCACAAGCCGGACTGATGGCTGGTGAGTGCAGCAACAGTAGTGGGAGTCTCTCTGGCCTTCGTGGCAGTGCTAAGGATGTCCGACTGACGGTTCCCAGACTGCTAAAGGGCGCAGGCCCGGCTGAGGAATGTCCCCACTCCCCCAGTGCACAAATGTCATGCACTGGGTCTCTAATACTTTTATAAACAAGTTTCTTTTCAAAAAGGATTACTATTAATGGTGTCATAATGCATGAAATGTTTTCTGGTCCATTTTTTGACTTCAACAAAACCATTATTTTTTTTTATTGTCTAAAGTTTTACATATGTCTCCATTTTCCCCGCTTGACCCTCCCACCACCAGCCAGCCATTCCCACCCCGGGCAAGCACCCACTGCCCCAGCCCCAGTGTCTGTTTCCATTGGTTTTGCTAATATGCATGCATACAAAGTCCTTTGGTTGCTCTCTAAACACCCCACCCCCCATCCCCGGCCATTTGTCTCTGGATCTATTCTTGTTAATCAAATTATATTGATCATTATATCCCACATATGAGTGAGATCATGTGATATTTATTTTTCTCTGACTGGCTTAGCATATGCTCTCCAGTTCCATCGATGCTGTTGCAAATGTAAAAGTTTCTTCTTTTTTATAGTGGTGTAGTATTCCATTGAGTAGATGTACCATAGGTTTTTAATCCACTCACCTGCAAAACCATTAAAATTATTGAATGCATTTTTACTTTCAGGGTGATTGTCGTTCCTACAGTTATGTGTGTGGAATCTCCAGTAAAGATGAGCCTGACTGGGAATCACTTATTTTCCTGGCTAGGCTTATACCTCGCATGTGTCACAACATTAACAGGTATGTTCTACAGTGGGAGCAGGGGATTAGGTGTAATGGAAGGATAAGTTGTTGTTGTTGTTTTTTTTAATATGTTTTTATTGATTCCTTTAGAGAGAGAGGAAGGGAGAGGGATAGAGAGATAAAAACATCAATGAGAGAGAAATATCGGTTGGCTGCTTCCTGCACTCCCCAAACTGAGGATTGAGCCCAAAATCTGGACACGTGTGCCCTGACTGGGGATCAAACTGGTGACCTCTTGGTCCATGGGTTGACCCTCAAACACTGAGCCACACCAACTGGGCAAGGTGTTTTTTTAAAGGACCAAAAGGCTCAAGTGTCGATACAGATATATCTACTTAGGTCACAAGTGAGTAGATATTTAATATCTTGTGTTTTGTTTCTTCAACACAATGCCTTTATCTGCTTTTAAAAAGGCAGTTTTAAGTCATGTCTTCCAAATTAGCAGCTTACACTACCTATTTTATGGTAACATGTTTTATTCCAAAGGATTGAAAAAAATATATGAAGGCTGTAGAATTACAAGTTAGGGGCTTAGTTAATTTATTAATAATCAGGAAATCAAAGAAAAGAAATAGGCAAATGCCCGATATCATTAAAATAACTACATGTATAATTTATTTTCAATTTAGTTTTTCAGATTTATTTTTCCTTTAATTTGCACATTAATTTTTATGTTGGATATATCAATAGCTGAGTTATAATCTTTGTCTATTTTACAATTTGAACTTTGTATTGAACTTTGTATAGTTCAATAATCTCAACTTGTTTGGTGCCAGATTGCTCATTAAATATTCTTATTTCACAGTTGTTCACTCTTCTCTGGTCTTGTTTTTTTATTTTATTTTATTTTTTTAATGGGTATTGGGTAGTTAACAACCAAAAATAATTACTTGATGTTTTAGTTTATTCAAATTTGCTGCAGAAATTAGAAATCTTTCCATTGGTGGTTACCTAGCAGAGTGTGTATTGTTCTCCAACTGCCTGCTGTTGGGATTTCCAGATAAGGAGTCACAGGGAAACCATCTTTTTTACTGGTGGGAATATGCCTATTAAAAGGTTTACTCCGATGAACCTAAGGCCCCCAAATAAGGAAGCACCTTTAATACCCTGAAAAAGAGTGAATTTTAAAATAAGTAGTGGTAAGTTTGTAAGTACCTATTTTTATTTACTTATTATATAAGCAATTTTTTATTGATTGAATTCATCTGCCAAGACATGGCAGCTCTGCAATTTGAGCCACAGGGCTTTAATTTTTGTTACTTGGAAATCAGTATGTGGAAGATGGGAAGGGCTAGCAAATAGCATATACTCCTTCTGCATATCATGGTGCTTCTCTGTTGTTGTTGTTAATCCTCACCTGAGGATATTTTTCCATTGATTTTTAGAGAGTGGAAGGGAGGTGGGAGAGATAGAGAGAAAAGCACCGGTGTGAGAGACATATCAACTGGTTGCCTCCCGCATGTGCTCCAACCTGGCCAGGGATGGACCTGCAGTAGAGGTATATGCCCTTGTCTGTAATCTAACCTGGGACCCTTCAGTTCATGGGCCAACACTCTATCCACTGAGCCAAACTGGCTAGGATTGTAATGAACTCTTTTGAATGGAGATAATTGTTTTGGTTAAAGTAATGGCTCATAATTCATCTTCTGAATAATGCTAATACTTTAACTTTAGAGGTCAAATGGAGTATTTCCTTTCCCTAATTTTGACTCCCTTGCTCTTACTATGCTATTAGTACATTCTTACAGTTTTATCTCCCTTTATTTTTCTTTTGCCGAGGTTACTCACCCATGTTTAAACTTAGTCTCTGTCCTTTATATGCTGGTTTCTCTTCCTGTCTTTTCTTTCTTCTGTTTTTCTCTTTCCTTACACAACCCTTCCGTTCCCTCCCCCCATAAAAAAATGTCTAACAAATAAGCAACAACAATAAACCTACTACATTTTAAAAAACCTAACAAGCCCTAAAAAGAAAGAGTCTTCATAAGTTTTAGATTTTTGCTAAGCTCCTTTTTAGGAATTAGAAATACATTTCTAAAATTGTTTCCCATTTTTTGGTGTCACTCTCTCTCCCCCCTCAGCCCCCATTGCTATTAGATGGAATCTTTGTAGAGAGAGCGACTGCTCCAGTTTGGCTGTTCTACCTATCCTTGCATATTTATTATCACTCTTGTTTGTAAGAAATTAGACCAAAAAAATCAAGTTGTGGCATTCTCTTGTCTACTTGCCTTTTCCTTTAAGGATTGTTTATGAGCTCTAGGAACTATGTTGCTAAATAGTTCCTGGGACAAAACTTTTTTTTCTGCTACAGTATATTCTGGAGGAGGCAATGAAGTAATTGGTGGTAGTGGTGGTTTTGATCTGTTGCTGTTTTCTTCTGTGTGCTTTATTCCAAGTATATATTAAGAAGAAAAGAAAAGCATAACTAAACTTAACTGTGGGAGATTGCCAAGGGAGATTGATTTTCTTTACTAAAGCCAGATAGGGCTAAGGGAAAGGGACAATTAGTTGCCTGCTCGCTGGAGTTGGGATGGGGAAGCGAGGTGGCACTCCTATCTCTACCCTGACTGCCTCTTTTTTCCTGAGTGAAGGTTGTACAACAGATCCTCCAAACAGTGGTAAGATTACCCTTCAGTTGTTTGAGCCTAATTTCCTCAAGCTATGTTCCAAACCCTACTTTTATTAACACTTGGCAGTGGTGTATCTTCATATCTTTCAAATAGATAATTACTGAAAGCACTTATGAGTTATTCCTTTTAGAAGGAACTAATAAGATACCAAGTTTAGGTGTCCATTTTGGTTACATTTTTAATAAAGCGGAAAGGAGAATCTTTCCTTGGGATTAGTGTTGCCCAAAATGAAAAAAAGACTGAGTAGTCAAATAAGTTTGGGAAATTCATTGTAGCCTCATCTTGGATGTTTCCAGTGCATATTAGCATATTACAACTTCTGAAGTTTTGTTGTAAAAACCTGTTTATTTGTTCAACTCACTGTTTCCCCAAGCTTATGAGTATTAATTTCCTGGGGCTACCAGAACACATTACCACAAACAGAGAAGCTAAAACAAAGTATTCATTCTCTCACGATTCTGGAGGCTAAAAGTCTAAGATCAAGGTGTCAGCAGGGCCATGCTCTCTGAAGGCTCTAGGGGAGGATCCTTTCCTGCCTCTTCCTAGTTTCTGGTGTTTGGTGGCAGTCCTTGGCTTGTGGCAGTGTAACGCCAATCTTCTCCATTCTCACATGCCCTCTTCTGTCTGTGTGTGTTACGTTCCAAGATTTCTCTGGTTTTAGAAAGTCACCCAGTCATTGGATCAGGGGTCCTCAAACTACGGCCCGCGGGCCACATGCAAATACAAATATTGTATTTGTTCCTGTTTTGTTTTTTTACTTCAAAATAAGATATGTGCTGTGTGCATAGGAATTTGTTCATAGTTTTTTTTAAACTATAGTCCAGCCCTCCTACGGTCTGAGGGACAGTGAACTGGCCCCGTTTAAAAAGTTTGAGGACCCCTGCATTGGATTAACGGCCACCTGACGTTATGTTAACTTGATTACATCTGCAAATATCCTGTTTTCACCACAGGTTCCAGTTGGATATGACATACTGGGGACACTCTAACTCAAGACATTAAATGAAAAGAGGAATATGATAATCACATATATCTTTGCACATTCTGAGATATTAGTATTCTAGAGAATACACTTTGGGGAAGGTACATAGAACATAGGCCCCTCTATAATTTTATATTCTAACCAACCCATTTGGGGATTTGAAGTGGGTAGGAGAGGGGCCTAAGAATAAATGGAAAGAATGTTATTCCTTGTGCATTGCTTATCATACTAAATTGTAATTCTCTGTAATTTCCTCTTCCCCCCTTCTAGAGTTGTCTATATATTTGGCCCACCAGTTAAAGAGCCTCCTACGGATGTTACTCCCACTTTCTTGACAACAGGGGTGCTCAGTACTTTACGCCAAGCTGATTTTGAGGCTCAGAACATTCTCAGGGAGTCCGGTAAGTTGCTCATGTTGCTTATCACTGCATGCTCTAACTAAAATTTGGATGCTTGGCATTGTGATTTCTAGTAGAATTATAAGATTTTCAATTTTTAGGTGCTTTCATGTTTATGGATAATTCTATGATGTTGCCTTCATAAAAAAATTATCCACCCTTTGTTTATGTGCAGACATGTGCAGAGTGGCAAAAAAATTGAGTTGACCAACTTGCAACTGATGTTGAACAAGGCAGTACTCTGCTTTCTTGTTCTAGCACTTACTGTAAACAAATGTTCTTTTTGTAGGCTATTTAGTGGCATATTTTTGGCATTTTCATGCTTTTGGTTGGTGATTTCACTGTTTAAAATGTCCCCCAAGCATAGTGCTGAGGTGCTGTCTAGATTTCTAAGCACAGGAAGGCTGTGATGTGCCTCAGAGAGAAAATATGTAGGTTAGTAAGGTTTGTTCATGCCTGAATTATAGTGCTGTTGGCCGTGAAATCAATGTTAATGAATCTGCAATAAATATTAAATACATAAAACAAGGTATGTACTGATTGGTTGATGAAAATGTGACCAGAGGCTTGCAAGAACCTAACTGTATTTCCTCTAGACCAGGGGTCCTCAAACTTTTTAAACGGGGCCAGTTCACTGTCCCTCAGACCGTAGGAGGGCTGGACTATAGTTTAAAAAAAAAACTATGAACAAATTCCTACGCACACTGCACATATCTTATTTTGAAGTAAAAAAACAAAACGGGAACAAATACAATACTTGTATTTGCATGTGGCCCGCGGGCCATAGTTTGAGGACCCTTGCTCTAGACCATAACTACCACGAATTAAAAGAATAGGCTTTATATATATGTTACATATATATAGTGTCATCACTACATCATAGCACTACAGTCAAATTTTATTACTTGTATTTGTGATTGAGTTTACTTAAAATGCCGTGAGAGTAGCTGGAAACAATGCACAATGGCTGTCCTAACTGGTGTGTGTATGTGACCAGATATTGTCTGGGAGGGTTTTATTGAACTAGGTCACAGTGCTTTTCCATGGATGGTGATTGGCTCTCTATGTTAACTTCCTTTCTCTAGGTTATGCTGGAAAAATCAGTCAGATGCCGGTGATTTTGACACCATTACATTTTGATCGGGACCCCCTTCAGAAGCAGCCTTCATGCCAGAGATCTGTGGTTATTCGAACCTTTATTACTAGTGATTTCATGACTGGTATACCTGCAACACCTGGCAATGAGATCCCTGTAGAGGTAATTTATATGTTCCTTCTAATGTATATTTTCAGTGCCTCATACATTTTATAATATGGCCAGTGGAATAGACTATGACAATGTTGATATTTGGTTTTCTGTTCAGAAGACAGGCTCTTTTTATCTCCACATGATTGTTCAGTACACTGTAGTAGAAAAAGGCCTTAAATATATTAAAACCCTCTAGACGTCTGATTACCATATGGAGAGGAACCAAACAACTCTCTAATCTATAACTTTATTTAATTTTGCCAACCAACCTCTACTTTACAAATAATATTTTCTAAGTAAAGAAGAAAACCTGAGGAGTGAAGAAAAGTTTATTGGAAATAAGGATGAGAATTGATGGCATTATGACCAGAAACCCAAGAATTCTTTAATATTCTGCTACCAGCAATTTAATTTTTGATCACCATCTCCCTCTCCTATTCTCTCTCCACAAAGGAGTCATTTGCTTGTTAGAAAATGAAAATCACACTGAGCTTTTGTTAGTTGGACCACTGCTCCAGTAGCTAATGCAAGGCTCTGGTTGTAGCTGCACAGCTGGGCCGGGAAATGTGGCTTACAGTCTGTTTTTTGTTAGGCTCAGATTTGCCAAGTTTTTGTTCAGTGACCAGGCTTTCTCCTGTACATATGTCAGTGGTTATTATTATAATGCATTATGCACCACCTTGGTAGACTCAGAGTTGTTTTAGCCACAGATAATTTGTGAAGAATTGGCTTAAACACATAAAATACTATGTTTAGATGCCAGAGCAATGTGAAATTATTATGAATGTTTCTAAACACTTGTCGTGGACCTGCGACAAACATAACTCGTAGGCTCGCACCTATCTGTGGGCCGTACTTTGAGTAGTATTGAATTTAAGTCACTTCAACCTATAGAGGGAAGTAGGTTCACTACCTAAAATTAATCAGAGGCCATCCCGTGTACATAGAAGCAAATAGTAAAAATAGATTACAGTTTCAAATTGCAAATGCAAGCCCTTTGGGATTTTAGGACATGCAGTGGATTCTTTTAATTGTAATCTTTGTTTTATAACAGGTGGTGTTGAAGATGGTCACTGAGATTAAGAAGATTCCTGGTATTTCTCGAATTATGTATGACTTAACATCAAAGCCCCCAGGAACTACTGAGTGGGAGTAATAAACTTCTTGTTTCACTAAAGTACTGTGTGCAGTTTAAATTAATTAGAGACCATTCCCAGTATTGACACGCAGTACTGTGAAGAGTGCTGGAGCGGCTATATTACATCTGAATTCTTCACAGCAAAAATTTATGGCCTGAAGGCTGAGTTGGGAATAACTAAAGGGGACTGAAGTTTGTACGGGTATAATCAACGCATCATTGCCTACACTCAGACAGATTGACACTGCATTTGCCTTTCCCTCACTTGTTCTTTATGTGTAAACTTACTGTTGCTATTGGTGTCTGTCAGTGAAGATGTATGGAGGTGGGTGAGTTTGGAGTATTAATGGGCTTCCAAGTTCCCTTGTCAGTTTCTAAGAGCTGTTAGAAAACTCCCGTGACTTAGTATGTATGCCTGTTGGAGAATCTGAGTTTCCATGCCAATAACCTCGTTTCTCCAAAGGGTGGGGGAAGTGATGAACATGTCAGATAAAGGTATAGGTGGGCTGTTCCAGCCACTTTTTCAGTACACTGGCATTATAAATGTAAGCTACTTTAAGATGAAAAGCACCAGGAATTTGCAGAAGTGCTTTAGAATTTCATGATACCACAGCCATGGGAGAAAGAAACTATGAGTGGTCTCAGTTTAAAATGTTTTCAAATCCTGTTTCCCATAGATGTCGTGTTGCTTACGTAGCTTTTTCACTAATAAGGAGCTTTATCCTCCCTGCCTTATATTGCCTGCTACAGCAGCCTGGATAGGAAGTTTCTGTTCTCTTCCTAGAAGAGACTGGCTTTGGTGCAGCATCAAGTTTGAGGGCTTTAATCTCGTTTGGTCAGAGGGGAAGCTCTGAGACCACGAAGACCATTGTGCATGTCTGCAGCTTACAAATGCACGCCCGCAGCTTCTATTACCTAGTGAAGAGTTGTAAAATGAACTCTTAGATGTCATGTGTTAGGTTCATTACCCACTGCCCAGAAGACTGACTAGTTTTGGTTTGTGCGCGCAATTGCCAAACTTTGTAATCCTACCAGCTGTAAGAGAAGATTCAAGAAGTGGTGTAAGACTTGTTCCCATTGCCACCAGTTTCTGCCAGATCCTTTGTAACATTTATGTAAGTACTATAAAAATAGGCAGTATTAGACGTATATTCTACAACCACTTCTCAGTATTTTAGCTGATGTTACTATTTAAGAATGTTACCATGTTTTTCTTCTTTTGTTTATTGAAGTATAATTGATACACAACATATTAGTTTTAGGTGTCTATATTTTTCTCATACCACTTCCATCTCAGGTTGCTGCCTCTTATTTTCAAAATTCTGTATTAAGGTATAAAATTTTGTATGGGATTCAGTGTTGGACAAATAATAAAATTATGCGTGACAGATGTCTTCATTCTGGCTAGCCCAGAGGACAAGAAAACTGTTGCTGGACCATCGAGGGAAGAACTCTGTCTATTGTAACCGATATCCTTACTTGAGACCAAGGGGTTCATTGACTTCTACAAAACTTGAAAGGTTCCTTCTCTGTCCTGATGATGGGTTATTCTTAATGGCCCTTTGAAAAGAGGATACGTTAGTTATCTGGTCTTTAGAGCTGGAATAGACAACCTATAAAGGGCTTACAAATATTTATGTTTATGTGGAAAATTTCTAGCAAAAGTGTCTTACAATTTTGTTTTCAAGCAAATATTAGGAATCTGTAGTAATAGCTGGTTTTTTGTGTCCCCGCCCCTAAAGTGCATTCAAGGGAACAATGCTCCCCTGAATCGTACATGTAAAGGGTTAGGTCATGGAAGCTTAGAAAGTGCTGTTCACTTGTCCTTCCATCTTGGGGACTCATGGTATATATTGCATTCAAAACTCTGAGAAATTTTGAAGTTAATAATTGTTAAAAATTTTTTAGCCTGATGTTTTCCTGATATTTATTCACTAAACCCCTTCTTATATAGTCCTACTTAATACTGGAAAATGGTTTCTCCAAAGCGCAGCTTGACATGATAGAAAAAATTAAAATTTCAGAAATTCCCTGACACTTTGTACCCTCCCTTCCTCTGCAAAGCACTTTTGTGCCATACAGTATTATTCTATACCTTCAGAGTATTTCATTTGAGCATCTGAGAAGCGTTAAGATTATAATCCCATTTTACACTTAAGGAAACAAGCTCAGTTTAGTAATGGATACCTAAGGAGTTTCAGAATTAAATGTGATCCTTGGTAGGTCATGACTGCATTCCTGTCATTCACCACTCACCTGGGTACCGCTCTAATATGCCTTGTTTCTTTGTGCCTATTAGAAGGAGGGTAGCAGAGCACTGGAAGCATCGTTTGGGAAGCATAAGATGGGGAGGGGAAGTACAAAAGAATATTTAGGAACCAGATACAATATTTAAGAACCCATCTTTTGCTGCCTTCTTCCTGAAGCAGCAGCATGCATGTAGCTAAGTAAGAATTGTAAAAGTTTGTTTCTTGCTGTGTTTGGGTTTAACTCCTGAGAGCCTGTTCTACCAAAATCCTTGAATGAAACCTTAAGAGAATGAAGGCATTCAGATTAGGTAGGTGGAACTGTCCTTTAATTTTTTTTTTCACATCAGATATGACCCAAAGGTAAATATAAAAATACATTGTAAAGTCATATATTACTCCCTTTTTTTGAAGCTATGGCATAGGTAAGCAGGATTTGAACAGTTGAATCTTCCATTGTGATCATGACACTTGGAAAATGCCCATCAACATGTACCCGCTGGCAATCTGTTCATTATGTGTTTTGGGGAAAGTTGGCAGAATATGCTTTTGCTTTGATACCAGTAAAGAGTCTCCCACAATCAGTTGTGCACAGGTAATTGTTGGCAGAGCTGGAGCTCAAATCCAGGCTTGCAGCTCTCTGCCTTGAAGAGGTAATGCTCTATGGGCCTTTGTGGTAAGGCCTAACAGGAAGTTACCAGTGTAATAGACCATCAGGGATAAATGTACTTCCAAAGTGTTAAATCATCTTCTTTTTGATGGTTAGTGATTAGTGTTTGGAGATAGTAGTATCTTCCAGAAATTCCTCTGACACTCATGCCCAATGTTATACCCCTGTTTCTTTCTACCTTTATATACTACTCCACTATTCTCCACTCTGCTCCTTTCTTCCCCTCTTTTCTGAATTCTCATTGGAATGTGGTGAGGACACACCTCAATGGAAGCTCCTTCCATTGTCCCAAATTAATATAATTGGAAACTGAATGCAATTTGGATGTTTTCACCATCGGAAAGCATTCCTTTTGTCCCTACTGAGGTAGCTGAGCCACAGGTGGCATAGGAGCTCAGGATAGTTCACCACTGTAGGGTGTTGACAATAGTGATGTTGCATCCTTGGCTCTTACATTCTTGAGTGTTTCATTTAATGACAAGAGGTTTGGACTCTCCCAGTCCAAAATGGCAGCTCCCAGCCCTGGTCTTCATATTGAAGAGGCCCAGGTATGCTACCCAACTCTTTCTGCCAGTGGTTCTCAACCCCTGGGTGCCTTTACTACTGTCCGAGGACTTAAGTCTGGGTCATGCCAAGACCCCTCCACCAACTCAAATGTGAATCTTGGTGGGGCTCAAGCATTGGCAGTTTTAAGTCTCTCCACTGGAACAAAGTGTTAATGAATATACCTGGCCTCTCTGGTTATGGTTTAAAGTCTTAGACAAACCTATAGATGAGAAGGCCATAGATACTGCCTGTTGAAGATCTCATAGCTAAATTAGTTCAGAACTAGGGACCAGACTCCAGAACTGACTCTAACACTGCATTGTTGCTCAAACACTCAAAAGGTCTGTTTGGTGATATTTAAAGAAGCTGACACAAATGTTGCCCCTGTTGAGGTTGCTTCTCTCAATCTATTTTTGATTATATATATATATATATATATATATATATATATATGAAGTTATATATACATATATATATACATATATACATATATACATATATACATATATAGACTCTTTTTAAAAAATATATATTTTTATTGATTTTAGAGAGGAAGGGAGAGGGAGAGAGAAACATCAGTGAGAGAATCATTGATTAGCTGTCATGCCCCCCCTACTGGGGATTGAGCCCAGGCCGGGACATGTAGCCCTGACCTGGAATCCAACCGTGACATGGTTCATGGGTCGATGCTCAGCCACTGAGCCACACCCGCTGGGCAGTCCACCCCTATGCTGCAGCCACCTTTCCAAATCTGAGTCTGACCAGATCATGAAACTGATATTGAGCTAGTCCTGTACCCACTCAGAGTCCTGGAGCTGTGTTGGAATAATTCTCTGGAGAGCTAGAGATTACCTGCCAGAAACCTAAGTTCCTGAGAGAATCTTTTGAGCACCTCCATCTTAATTTACCTACCCACTAGGGTCTTTGTTCACTGGTGATTCCTGTGGCATTTTTTGACTTTGTTAAAGGCCCTTTGACTAACAAAATCATGGAACTTTGGGTGGAGTTTGGCTATTTCTTGAGTATACTAAAAGTAACCAATCGAAGCGGAGTGTATGCTTTTGGAGAATACAGATATCTAAGGTAAGAAATTTTCTGTCTTTGAATCTTCTATGACCTTCAGGTATTAAATGAAGAAGTGAATGTAACCTTTGGAACAGACTTTTCATAAAGAAATATTTTGTTATTTGGAGTAAGTAGTATAGTTGTGAAATAATCATGTAATTGTTCATGGCATACTTGTATGTTGTGATAATGTTGGCATAAAACCGCTTTGCTAAATTAATGTGAAATTACTTTAATGCCTTTTGTCTTCAATATGCGTCATAAAGGAGAAAACCACTTTCACAATTTGTCGTTAAGCTTCAGTGTTCACGAGACAGTCAGAAGCAAGAGCAAAGAGGACAAACACTATCGGGACATGGGAAATAAGAAATTGCATAGACAATCGGGTTTCTGGATAATGAACTTAATCTCTTACATATGTGAGAGGGTGGGCAGCATTTTGCCTAGAATGTTAACAGTGAGCATCGTGGACATAAAATACTGGGTAGCTTTTTATTTAAATGACTAGAGGC